AATTTCTTAATGTCTTTTAAGATGTTTTAATATAATGTTTTATTAATTCTCTGAAAATGTCTTACAATGTGTTTTGATCATATTCACCCCACTCCCCCCTTCTCTGAAGATTTTTAACAAATGTTCAACTCATGTGGAAATCACAGCTGTCTTTCTCCAGGCTCTGTATTATTCTTCTCTTATTAATGTATTAAAATTGACAGTTGATTAGAATGGCAAAAATATGACTCATATTTCTTAGATGTCATTATTGTTCTTAGATCAGGTTATTGACTTTAATTGTAGTTTGAAAGACACCTGTGATTCGTGTTCAAACCCACACAGTCTGGATTCAGAGTCTGAGCTCTTACCCACACGGTGAACTGGATTATCACAGAAGTTTCAAGCACAAATTCTTACCATGGTTCCTACCTTTACTAATTGTATCATATTATAGTTTTATGAAAATTAATAGCCAGTTAATATTCATATTCACTGCCCTAGCATGTTAATATCTTTGGTAATTCCCGCTTTGTTTACTCTTACTCTTAGATTTGATTTTTCTCTTTGTTACTGCCTATCCTCCTTATTGCTCTCAGGAAAGGTAGTGGAATTCTGATTTAATGTCTAGGAATAGCTTTTCCCATCTTACGTAACAACCACTGTAAGTCCAAAAGTGTTTTTCTCTCCACAGTTTAGTCATTTCTTTCTGTTACTGAAGAAGACTGAGTTTTGCTTTCTTTCTTATATAGATAATGTTTTAGGAGATTTGTTAGTTTGCTTTGTTTTCTATATAGCCCAGGCCTTGAGCTCACTATATATAGCTCAGGCTAGCCTTTAACTTAGAGTGGTCTTCCTGCCTCATCTTCCTGAAAATTATAATTGTAGGTGTAGATACTACACACAGCTGAAAGGTAGTTTTTCTGGGTTTTTGTTTAGTTGGTTGGTTGTTTTGTTTTTTCAAGACAGGGTTTCTCTGTGTAACAGACCTGGCTTTTTTGGCACTTGCTTTGTACACCAGGCTGGCCTTGAACTCACAAAGATCTGACTGCCTCTGCTTCCTGAGTACTGGGATTAAAGGTGTGTGTCACTGCACCTGGCTCCTTTGTTTTGTCATGGTATGGATCTTTGAATATGAGGCAGTTTAACAGTCTTCTCTTTCTCCCACCCCACTGTTGAGTTTTGATTTCATTTTACTTTTCTTTCCTTTTTTGAAATAGGGTCTCACTCTGTGGATCAGATAGCCTTGTGGTCTTGAACTGTCTATGTAGTTTCAGGCTGATCTACTGGTTGTCTCCAGAGTCTAAGGTAATAGGTATGTACTACCACACCATGCTCAGTCTTTTGGTTTTTATATAAGAAATACTTCTCTGTTATACTGATATACAACTTCTGTCATAAATTATCCTGCAAAGGTTATGTAATTTGTCTTTCTTATTTAGGACTATACTCTACCCAGCAGTGATTTCTCTCTCTATATGGTACAAGAATGTTTTCTCTTTTGTTGTTGGTACTTTTGTTAATTCCTCAAGGTTTTGATTGTGTGTGTAGATGTGTGTGCATGCATTTGTGTATGTTGAGGCTACAGGTCAATCTCATGAGTCATTCCTCAAGTGCTACCCATCATGTGTTTCGGCAAGAAAGTCAAACTAAATAGATAGTATGCCCTAGGCATGGGGTTATAAGTGTGGCACCATTCTTGGCTTTTTAAACAAAACAAAACTAGGATTTCTTTGAATCAAACTCAAGTTCTTTTGCTTGCAAGGCTAGCATTTCATTACCTGAGCTATTCCCTAGATCTGCTTCCTCTACTCTTTAATAATTGTTGGTATTTGAAAGAGGGTTTTGGGGTTGTACATCAGGCTCATATGCACAAAAAAAACTGCTTAATGGCATCATTTGTACCAATGAAAAATGCAACAGATTCTAATTTACCTAATGAAATTGATACATATCCTAGAGCAGTGGACATGAAAATTATATGACCACTACATTCTTTGCCATAACCCAAACAAGCACAACTGCCTTACAAGTGACAACATCAAGGCTTCTATCTTGGCTTTAATAATGATTGGCATTTGAAAGGTGATTTTGAGTGGGCACATTCCCCAGATTCCCAGGCACATTCATGATTATATTGACTATTCTTTTCTCTTTGCTTTCCCATATGCATTTCGTGATAACTTTTTGTATTAGTTAGTTTTCCACTGCTGTTATAAGATGCCACAACCAAGGCAACTTACAGAAAAATCATTTATTTGGGCTTATGGTTCCAGAGAGTTAGAGTCCATGATGATGGCAGGAACAGAAAGTTGAGAGCTCACATCTTGAACCACAAGCACCAAGCAGAGAACTGGGAATGGAAGCTCTGAAAGCCCCTCCTCCAACAAGGCCACACCCCTTAATTCTCCACCAGTAGATCACCAGCTATAGACCAAGTATGCAAATGCCCCAGACTATGGGCAACATCTCATTCAGGCTGCCACATTCCTCCCTGAGCTCCGTAATATTCTGGCCAGAAAGTAAAATGTGTTTAATCCAATTTCAGAAGTCTCCATAATCTTTCGCAGTCATAATGCTTTATGAAAGTCTAAAGACTCTTCTGAGACTCCAGGCAATTTCTTTTTTTTTTTTTATTGAGAAAAGGAAAAAAAAAACAAGTTTCCGCCTCCTCCCAGCCTCCCATTTCCCTCCCCCTCCTCCCACCCTTCTCCCCCTCCTCCCACCCTTCCCCTTCCCCACTCCTCTCCCCCTCCCTCTCCAGTCCAAAGAGCAGTCAGGGTTCCCTGCCCTGTGGTAAGTCCTAGGTCCTCCCCGCTCCGTCCATATCTAGGAAGGTGAACATCCAAACTGGCTAGGCTCCCACAAAGTCCAGGCAATTTCTTAATTGTAATCCCCTGTAAAATAAAAAAGCAAACTACATACTTCTAATATATAATGGTATGGAATATTCCTTGACATTCTAAGATGGAGGAATGAGGTCATTGTGAGGAAGTACTGAACCAAATCAAGACTTTAGCTTTGCTGTCTACAACACACTTGTATGTTGTGGGCTGAGATTGTTCTCTGTATTGAGTCTCCTTGGCAGATTTCCCACAGCCATGGCACCTCTGCTATCGGGTAGTCTCCAATATAATCCATGCTCTACTCCTCCGCTTCACACAGTGGCCTCTCAAGGCTTTTCCACAATGACTCCCATGCCCCACACCACACACTGCCTGGCCTCAGCTCTCTCTGAAACTGTGAAAGAAGATTCCACAGTCCTGTTGTCCTTGACTTCCAAAGCTCGCACCGTCTGGATGACATTGCTAAGTTGACTGCCCGCTCGAGATGGACCCTGTTCTCGAGCTGCGTTTGCAGCAGTTTTTGTTTGCTGTTGCCTTTTAGGGGCATAAAAGCCCTTATACCTCTTGCTTTCATCAGTTGGACCACTGTATGGTCTTGGTCTCAGAGTACCCTTCCCTTTATTCCCTTTATTTTAACTGGGGCTCTCCGTAATGGCTCTAATCTTCTCAACAACTACAGCCTCTCTCCAGGTGTAAGCCTTGGCTGTAACATCAAGCTTGCCATTGTCCTTTTCCCTTCCACAGTGTATGTTTTCTTTGTCTCATGTGCTCTTTTTCATTGTAGACCTGTCTAGGCATGCTTACTAATAACCATATGATAGAGTCAATAGCAGGCTCTTTTGAAATAGCTACTGACAAATAAATTAGTTCATTACTAGTAGATTCAGCCTCAAGCAAATTCTTAGGACATGGGCAGAAAGAAGCCTTTTTGTTTGTTTGTTTGCCTCTAGATCACAGGAGCAGTTGTGTCTGGCCAAGCCACTACTGTTGCTATTCTGAAACCTCTTGTGATGGGCCTCCATAGTCTGCATAGCTCTTACCGCTACTGTTTTCCAAGCTCCTACTAGGAATGTCCTTAGGTTCCACATACAGTGTCCCACCACTTTTCTAGTTCAAGGTCCCAAAGTCTTTCGCATCTGTTCAGAACTCTGTGTGGTCAGGTTCTTTGCAGCAATCTCCCACCACTGACACCCAGTTCTCTGTTAGTCCTGGCTGTGAGTAAACAGCACAATCAAGGCAGCACACAGAGAGAAAGGGTGATTTGGCTTATGGAGGGGTGAGTCTGTCATGACACGGAAGTGTGACAGCAAGCTGCAGACTTGACTAGAAACTGAGAGCTCCACTCTTGAACCTGAAGGCAGGAAGCAGAGAGAGCAAACTGGGGCTGACGTGTGGTTTTTGAAACCTCAGAGTTTGCCACAGTGACATACTTCTTTCAGCAAACTGTACCTCCTAGACCTGCCCAAACAGTGCTACCAACTGGGGACCCTAGTATTCAAGTACCTAAGACTATTGGGGGGGCGGGGAATCTCATTCAAACCACACTTGTCAAGTTCAAGAAAAGGGATTATTAAATTTTTGAAACTATATAAACATGAGGGAGAATTGTTCTCTATAAAATATAGAACCAATCCATCCTTAGACATGCTTGTATATCTTTCCATTTATTTGTATTTGAATTAAAGCTTATTTTTCATGCTCTTTTTGTGTTCATATATTTATTGCATATACCTTAAAGCAAGACAGTCTAGGCATGTGTCTCAATGGGGGAGCACTTAACTAGTATGCAGAGTCCTGGGTTCAAGCCCTTGTATCATTAAAAGGGAAATCAAGAGAAGGGAGGCAGGCTGATGTGGAGTTTCTTTTTTGTTTGGTTGGTTTTTTGATACAGGGTTTCTCTGTGTAACAGCCCTGGCTATCTTGGAACTCACTCTATGGACCAGGCTGGCCTCAAACTCACAGAGATCCCCTGCCTCTGCCTTCCCAGTGCTGGGATTAAGGGCGTGCACTACCACCACCTGGCTGATTTTTCAGCAGCTGACTTTTTTTAAACAATTGTTTTTCTATTTTCTTCTTTGTGGCTGCAACAGGAAAGCTCATCTACTAACATGTGTTGGGATTGGATGACGGTTTTTGAGATGAGGCACAGGGGTGGTATGTGCTCTTTTTTTTTTATGAGGCACAAAGAGTCTTTATTGGGCTCACACAAGGAGTCCATTGGTCTTGAGGACCTCTGTGAACTTGCAGATTTTCTTCTCCACGTTCTTTTCCGCCTGTTTCCGTAGCCTCAAGAGCTGCTTCTTCTTCCGGTAGTGCATCTTGGCCTTCTCCTTCCGCTTCTCCTCCAGAGTGGCTGTCACTGCCTGGTAAGTCCACCCGACCTCATGAGCCAGACGCCCCAGGTAAGCAAACTTCCTGGTAGGCTTCAGCCGCACAACCTTGAGGGCGGCAGGGACCACCATCCGCTTTTTCTTGTCATAGGGTGGAGGGATCCCATCCAACACCTTGAGGCGTTCCAGGGCAGCCTGGCCTCACTTGGTCTTGTGGGGCAGCATGCCTCGCACAGTGCGCCAAAATATGCGGCTCGGGGCTCGGAAATGGTAGGGGCCTCGGGAGGGGTTGGTGTTCGTCCGCTTTCGGAGAAAGGCCAGATACTTCAACTTGTGTCTGTAGAAGTTTCCGGAAATGTTGATGCCCTCACAGCGAACAACGACCACCTTTCGGCCCAGCAGTACCTGCTTGGCCACAATGACCGCCAGGCGACCCAGAAGATGGCCTCGGCCGTCCAACACCAGAACCTGCCCCTCCGCCATCTTCGGCAGCCGCCTGGGAAAGAAAAAGTTGGTATGTGCTCTTAATACCCTAGAAGAAGTGTGGGTTCCGCTCCGTGTAATTTTGATTATGGCTGATTGGTTCGGTTCTGCATATCCTTCTTTTTTTCTCATGTTTTCTGCCTCCTGTCTTCTTTCTTGGCTTACAAAGCCAGAAATCTGCACCCATTGGCTCACATCTTCTCATTACCCCTCACCACTTGTAACCACGTGGATCCACTCTCTGTTTCTATGGATCTGGAACACACATATATTTAGATGCCACGTAAAAATGAGATCATATAGTCATATAAAAGTTTTCATTCTGTTTCTAGTTTATTTCATTGGCTAGGTGTCCTCAACGTTTCATTTGTGTAATAAATATGATATAATTTTCACAGTGAAACCCATTGTTTTTTACAATTAACATATACTAGGTTTTTTTTTCAGATACAAAGTGGGAGTGGGCAAGGAGGTGGGAGATAGATCTTGGAGGAGTTAGGAGGAGGTGAATATACAAAATATATTATGTGAAATTCTTGAATAATTAATTTACATTTTAAAGTGTCAAAAATTTAATAAGGAAACAGATTGTAAAAATCTCATTCAAGGTTGATTGATGTTTTACAGTTTCTTTGTTCATCCATCTATTGACAGAGACGTCAGCTGTTTCCATATCCTAGTTGTTATGAAGAATGTAAATGCTTTTGCAGGATAGTTTAATTGGTTTTGGTGTTTTTCAAGCAATGCATTATTATATCATATAGGGCTTTGCATCCCTGCTATTCTCACATTTCTCAAACTCTGGCTTCAGCTGTATCATAAACTAACTGTATAATGTTTAAAAAAGTAAGCTGGGACAGCCAGTGTATTCGATATCTACCCACCTTTGTCATTTCCAGTTCATTTCACTCCTGGTATAGCCTTGGATTTGCATCCGGTGCTTTGCTTTAGCCCAGAGCACCTCCTCTAGCATTTCTTGTGGAGCAGTTTCCTGACAAATTCGCTGAGCTTCTGTTTCTTGGAATTATGAATTTCTTGGAAAAATATCTGATCAAATTACGAATTTTAGATAATACTCTAGATGGTTCCAGATCTATGTTTTAGTTAACTTTTGAGTTAGCGTGCAAGGTGTTGAATTTTGATGTGGCATCTTCGTACAAGGGTCCAGAGTTTTTGAAAACATTTCCTTGCTTTTCTCATCTCTCTCTTCTAGTTCTCATTCAAACCAAATGCTTAATTTGTAAAGTGTAAGATGACTGTACAGTCATTAGCGTTTGTATGTGAACTTTGTTAACCCTTTCCAGGTCATCTCACTTCACTGCCTGTCCCTCCTCCCATTGTGCCAGTGTCAGGGAATACCAGCTTATGTCAGCATTGGTGGAATCAGCCTTCTTACAGTCTCCAGGTTCGGTAACTGTGGAGATCTGGTATTTCATTTTGCTTTAGCCCTTTTTAAGAAGAGGCAACACCAGGACTTGAGAAGGCACCCTGTAAAACTAATAAACATTTTTAACTCTTTGAAACATTTTCCATAGTAACTAAAAGTTTATTTTTGGCCTTGAGCAGTTAAGGTCACAAAGAAGAGAAAGTGGGTTTTCTTCAAGTTGAATGGCATTCATTTGTCGATTTTATACTTCAAGATCTTTGTCTATTGCTGTTGAGCTAAATACCTTTGCCATAGTATGTGCTTACTAGTGTTGTGTCATCATCCTTAGGTACCTCTTTCCAAAACCAGTCTCCTCTCTTTCAGTCTTCAAGTCCTGCTTAGTTTATCTCCAAAATGCATCCCACATTCTCACCTCCAGTGTTCCCAAACTATTTTAGTCTCTTATTGGAGTTATGGAATCGTCTCTCCATTTAGGTTCACTCTTACCTCCTAGAGGTCTATTCTCCAGGTAGCAGCTAGAAGCATCCTTCTATAACCGTTCAGCTCATGTCAGTTCTGGTTTCATTTGAGCTTAGACTAGCACCCAGTCGTCTTTGTGGGTGTCTGTACCTACCATGGGCTGGTCCTACCTCTACGTGCTCTTCTATTTTGTTCTCATACAACTCCCAGAAACATTAACCTCCTTGCCTTTCCTTAAAGATAAGCTACGTTTCTGTCATTTTTATTGTTTCCTTTGCCTGGACTTTTCATCTAGATATTCTTAAAGTTGTCGTCCGTATTCACCCCGTGTTCAAAATCATTTCACAAAGTACTGCCAAGGCCTTTCCTTGCTCACATAGTCACGCTGTCTTTACGCTGATCTTCTTGCTCATATCTTTATGTTCCTCTAGTGTTCAGACCCAGGTAGGCCATTGTTCACAGCCCATGTCTTCTCAGAGACGTTTGCCTCTCCTTAGACTTAGTTTTCTTTCATGTGTCTTCAGTTATAACAAGTGAAAAGGGGTAACAATTTATATATTGTTTACTTTTTTCTTGTTAGTTTGGTAATGATACTGTTTTTGGGCTTTTTCTTCTCTTTCTTTCTTTCTTTCTTTCTTCTGCTCTTTCTTTCTTTTTCAAGGCATAGTCTCATATCTCAATCTGACCTTAAACTCATTATATAGTTGAAGATGACTTTGAACATTTTATCCTACTGCCTCCATGGGATTACATGTATGTACCACCATGTCAGATAAGCTTGAATAAAGCAGAATATCATTCAGCTGGTGCATGTGACCCAGGCTTCTCACCTTGTGGTAGACAGGAAACAGTAGGAGAATAGGCCCAATGCTGTATATAGTCTTCAGAGGTCCATTTCCAGTGATCTTCTTTCTCTAGCTAAGTCCTGCCACCTAAGCTGGGGACAAAGGCCACAAAACATGAGCTCAAGGGGACATTTCATTTTCGGATGATAGCATTCCACTCTTAGCCCAGAAAGGTTTGTGTTCACAATGCACATAGAATGTCTCCGAGAGTCCCCAAATATTGTCAGTCTCAGTGTTGTTCAGAAGCCCAAGTCCAGAGTCTTTTCTGAGACCCGGTGCACATTCTTAGCTGGGAGCCCCTGCAAAAATAAAAAGATAGTTATGTACGTCCATGATAAAATGGCCATGAAAGAAATACTCTGATTGGAAAAGAGAAAAATAGAAGAATTGAAAGGAAGAATCTCATGAAACAAGACTGAACCTGAGGGGCATCGCTGAATGCTTAGCTTCATGGTTTGCATCATTGTGAGCACCAGTAGTACAGCTCCAACCTTCTGGTCCTGTCATTTGAAGCCAACATGGGCTCTTCTGGGAGGCTAGCTCCGCTCATGGCCTGTGGCTCTCCTCAGATGTTACTTCTTATTCTCGGTGTATCTTCTCCTAGAATCCCCATTTCAGCTTATGCCACACCCTCAGCTTTACACATTGCCCTCTGAAGGGCTGCCTGCAGGGACTCCAAACTTACACATTGCCTGGCCTTCAGGATATCCTTTCAAATCTTGATGGAAGCTTCCATGACTCTATGATGATTACATTTGCATGCCTGTAAGACCAGCACCATATAGACAACATAAAAGTATGCCATCAGCTAGAGCAATAGGCAGGCAGCCTTGGACCAAGGCCACTGAGCGACAGACAACTGAGCGCAGTGAAAGAAACCCTAGTCAGTCTCCCCTAGAGGCTCTCCTTTTCTCAAGAGAATTTCTTTGAAACTGATTCGTTCTTTCATACTCTTGAGCCTGCCATCGATGACACCTGGGCAATTCAGGAGAAATGCTCACAGCACCTTTGCTGTTGTCTCAGTGTATACTGCTTGGCTGATTTTAATGGTGCTAATCTTTTCAGAAACCGCGCCTACCTTAACTTCAGCTTCACAGACTTTTGAGACCGAACTGAAGGTTTTCAGGTCTTTCTAATTTGCATTTTTTTTCTAGTCATACATTAATCTGACTAATAGCAACTTTCAATAACTGTGCACTGTTTCAATACTGGAATGCCTTTAAGAATCTCCTCTACTAGGTGAAGTACCCATCACCATTAGACTCCCACTGTCTCAGGCACAGTTGAAATGTAAACAGCTTGTTGCTGTTTTCATATCTTATAACAATGAGGACTACACGGTTCTCAGGGGTCTTTGCTGTCTTCTGAAACCTGTCCACTCTCTGGTCTTCTAACCCATGAACTCTGCTGATAGCATGTGAGGCTCTCTCAATCACTTCTCCAGTTATAACAGCTCAGTGATCCACTTCTCTGGTTGGGTCGTTAAGCACCATGGCTTAGGGTCATGTATATTTTGCATATTGGTTTTAGTCCAGTCTTTGGTGGCATTAATCCTGGGCCAATGAGCTGAGGCACTAATGAATGGCAGCATCACCATGTGACAGAGACTGCTTTCTTTCCTCAGGATTGGCAAGAAGCAGTGGGGTGGGGGTGGGGGCAGGGCAACCAGGCATAAGGTATACTATTCAAAGGCACGTACCAGTGTCCTCCTTTTTATCCAGACCCATCTCCTAAAATTTCTACCACCTCCTAAAGATAGCACCACTAACTAGGGACCAAGTATTTAAAACATAAGCTTAAAGAAGACATTTTATATTTAAACCACAATAGTTAGTTTAGTTTAGTTTGCTGAGCTTTTTTTCATAAAAATGTTTTATTTTATAATTTTTTTCTGTAGCAATTAGTATGATCATATAGATTTTCTTTAGAGTATTAATTTGGTAGATGACATTGCGTTG